TTTGACCAGTTATTATAGAAGATTTGTTCAGGGGTTTTCCTCCATTGCTTCTCCTTTGACTGCTTTGACTCAATAGAAGGCCAAGTTCATATGGTCTGAAGCTTTTGAAAAAAGTTTCCAAGAGTTGAAAGATAGACTTTCTTCCGCTTTGGTATTGACCATACCGGAATAAACAGATGGTTTTTTGGTATATTATGATGCCTCTAGAGTGTGGTTGGGATGTGTGCGTATGCAAAATGGTAAGGTGATTACCTATTCTTCAAGGCAACTAAAGGTTCATGAGAAGAACTATCCTACCCATGATATTGCATTAGCGGCGGTTGTATTTGCCTTAAAGATTTGGAGGTATTATTTGTAAGGGGTCCATGTTGATGTTTTCACCGATTACAAAAGTTTGCAATATATGGTTACCCAAAAAGTTCTGAATCTCTGCCAAAGAAGGTGGCTTGAGTGATTGAAAGATTATGATATGAGTGTTCTCTATCATCGTGATAAATCAAATGTGGTGGTGAATGCCCTTAGTCGATTATCCATGGGTAGTGTTTCAAATGTTAATGATGATAAAAAAGAGTTGATTCGAGATTTTCATAGGTTGGCCCGATCGGGAGTTCATCTAGTGGAATCCACCAAGGGTGGTGTCATGGTCCATAATGGTTCCTAATCGTCCTTTGTGGCTGATGTGAAGGCCAAAATATGTCTTGATTCGACCTTAGTTGTATTGAAAGAGGTAGTTCTAAAGAAGTCTGTAGAGGCTTTTTCCCAAGCGGGAGACAGTGTCCTAAGGTACCAAGGTCGCTTGTGTGTTCCGAATGCTGATGACTTGAGGGAACAGATCTTATTAGAAGCCTATTATTCTCGATATTCTATTCACCCGGGAACCACCAAGATTTACCATGATTTGTGGGAGATCTATTTGTGGAATGGGATAAAGAAGGATATTGTGGGATTTGTGGCTAAGTGTCCTAATTGCCAACAAGGGAAGGTTGAGCATCAAAAACCAAGAGATTTATCACAAAACGTTAGCATTCCTACTTGGAAGTGGGAAGATTTGAATAGGTACTTCATAGTAGGGTTTTGCACAAACTCGGCATCAATATGATTCGATTTGGGTCATAGTAGACTGAATGACGAAGTCGGCCCATTTCATTCTTGTCAAGGTTTTCTATACGACGGAAGATTATGCTAAGCTATATCTGAGAGAGATGGTAAGGTTGTATGGAGTGCCCTTGTCCATTATCTCAACTAGAGGTACTCAATTTACTTCACATTTTTGAAAGTCCTTCCAAAAGGTTCTCGGCAAGAAAGTTAAGCTTAGTACGACTTTTCACCTCAGACCGATGGGCAAGTTGGAAGAACAATCCAAATATTGGAAAACATGTTAAGGGCTTGCATGATAGATTTCAAGGGAAATTAGGATTATCATTTGGCCTTGATTTGATTTTTCTATAATAATAGATACCATCGTAGTATTGGTATGTCTTTGTTTGAGGCTCTTTATGGTAGAAGGTGTAGATCCCCTATCTGATGGTTTAAGGTGGGTGAGGTTGCTTTGATAGGACCTGAGTTAGTTCATGAGGCTATATAAAAGATTTGACTCATTGGAGAGACGTGAGAACGGCCCAAAGTCGACAAAAGTCTTACGCGGATGTTTGAAGGAGAGACCTTAAGTTTGATATGCTTGATTGGGTTTACTTTAAAATTTCACCCATGAAGGGTGTAATGAAGTTTGGTATGAAAGGGAAACTTAGTCCCCGTTTTGTAGGCCCATATCAAATTTTGAGACATGTTGGTAAGGTTGCATATGAGCTTTATTTGCCAAATGAGTTGGAATCGGTGCATCTAGTTTTCCATATCACTATGTTGAAAAAGTGTGTTGGATATATGACATCCATAATTCCCCTTGAAGGGTTAGAAGTGAAAGAGAACATTTCTTATGAAGAAGTTACGGTTGAGATCTTGGACCGGCAATTTAAGAGATTGAGGAACAAAGAGGTTACTTTCGTTAAGGTGTTTTGGAGAAACCACTTAGTTGAGGGTAATACTTGGGAGGCCGAGGCCGATATGATGTCCCGGTATCCTCATCTTTTTCCTCCTATTCTAGCTTGAGGTAATGAGTTTCTCTTAATTTAGGTTTTTTGAAGTCATGTGTGTTTTATGTGTTCCCTTGATTTCCTTAAATTTGAATGTTCATGAAAAAGCCTATGTTTTTAAAGAAATGGCTTCTGTGTTGTATTTTCCTCATGTTGTTGAGTATTGAGTATGAATTGCTAATAGACTTCATGAGATGAGTTATTGAGCATGCCTTGACATGGGGTGGAGATTTCCTCCTTGAATATGTACTATGTGCATAAATTGTATTTAGGCTCCATGAGATTGTGTTGAGCATTGCTTTTTAGTTTGGAGATGGTAGTTCCTCCTTAAGTGTAAGAAATCTGAAAATTTCGTGCATATTGGGTTGTTAGTGTTAGTTCCTTCTTCCTTAAGGTGGATTGAGTAAGTTTAGCTTGGAGATGAAGTTTTTCCTCGGTGGTGTGCATTTAGATGAGTTACATGCATGATGGCCTAGTAGTCTTGAGTCTTTTTGTCTAGAAACATGCCTAGAATATCATTCGAGGACGAATGATCCCAAGGAGGAGATAATGTAACACCCCAAATTTGAAACGAGGCAAAATAGCAGCTATTGAGAAATTGAAGGTGCCATCCACAAGAGCCAACCACAGCCTATGGGTTGACCAATGGGCCGTGGGTAGGGAGTTTCAGAAATTGGTCCAAATATGGACCACGGGGGGATCTACAAACCGTAGGTGGGTCCACGCTCCATGGACCAGTGGCCGTCGTTTGGCCTAAATATCTCTGACCATACACTACGACTGACTAGGACGGACCGTAGGTCAGTAGACAGTCCGTCGGTCAGGGTTCCGTGGGTCGAGAGCTAGCAGTTATTATAGGGGAGTATGGGTCTTTTCCGGTTTTCATGAAATCAATTTGTTGTCATTTTGCCTAAACCTAGACTACCTATATAAGGATTTTAGACCCTCTAAACTCACTCAATTAAGTCATTCTCTGAATTCCCAAAAGAAAACCCAAATGCTCTCTCAAATACTCTCTCTCTAGAAGGTGAAGGAAGAAGAAGGATATTAAAGCTAGGTCAACATCAAGTCTCTCTATCTTCAAGATTTTGAGGGCATTGTGATCAAGGTATGGTGAGTTTTCGTCCATGAATTCTTCCATCCATGGAGTCCCCTAGAATCCCATAACTTGAAGAAGAATTTCCTCAATTCTAGTTAGGGTTTTTTCCAATGTTCTGGGTTATGATGAATGTTGATCCAATTTAGTGGATTATGATTGTTTATTATTGAATTAATATAATTTCATGTATTTAGGATGAAATAACATGTGGCCATGCTTATTCGATGAAGCTAGAGTAGAACTTATATGATTTGGGTTGATGCCATGAATGGAAACTTTGTGTGTTAGATTTCTCCTTATAGGATTGATGAATTAGAATTAGAATTGCTCGGCATTGAAGTATATATGATGAATATGCTGTTAACTTCTTGATATTAAAGCATAGATAATGCTCATGAGATGTAGTGGTTTGAGTGTAAAGTGTAGACTATGAATTATTGATTGTTAATGTTATGATGTGGAAGGGATACTTCCCATAATGAATTGATAAGCATGATTTAATGAACATGAAAGGTTTACTCACATAAATGATTCTACGTTGAAAGGATTTCTCACCTAAAATGAATCTATACTAAAAGCTTATGTAATTGATTAGGCTAGAGGTGATTACCATTGACCTCCATATGTAGGGATATGCGGTGATTCCCATACTTCTTAGAATTGAACAAGAGGTGAGTTCCCACGTTCTTACTATGATGAATGGACATGGAGGCGAGTACCCACGCTCCTTATGAAATGATGTGGAGGCGAGTACCCTTGTCATATGATGAGATTGTGGAGGCGAGTACCCACAATCTAAAAGTAAGTAAGGCAAGAGGAAAATACCCATTAGTCTTTATAAGCTAGGAATTGAGGCGAATCCCCATGTCTTTAAAAGTAAGTATGAATAATATAGTTATATTATGAAGATTATTTGTTTGGAGTGTTGCTAGATATGCCTTCCATGATGCAAGCTTGACTAGAGGCGGATGACCTATGTCTTGGCTAAGGATAAGTGAGGTTACTTAAGGAAGTATTCCTCTTTCATTATGATTCTTATTTTGTCTTGATTATGCTTATGCCTTATGAATTATGTTGACTAACGCGTATGTAATGTTGTTTATGTTAACCATCATATTTAGTACTTGATTGTACTAACACATACTCTTGCCTACATTGTTATCAAATGTCTGACGACGTTGACTCTCACACTCGTGGCTAGCTTCGTTGTTGGTCAAGCAAGTGAAGTTTTTGTTAGTCCTCATTATGTTCGAGGATGTGATCACCACTTTCCTTTATGTTTTTATTTTATGTCTTGAACTATTGTATGGGCTGCGTCGCAAGATTCTATTCTTATATGTTAGATGGTTTGAGACAATTATGTTAGTCTTCCTCTCGTTTTATAAAAGAATTTGATTGTATTGAAAAGTTTTAAATTTTTCGTCATTTCTATTACGTTATGTTGCGGCATGTTTAATTTGCTTGTATGGGGCCTCTCGAGGTCTTATACGCCTTGTTACATCTACGGGGTACCCCTGTGTCACGACCCAAGCCTAGGGCCTAGACGTGACCGGCAAATGGGGAACCCGAAGGAACCCCAAACAAGCCTCATAGCGTATCATTACACATCCTTGGTCGCGGAAGCAATTAAAATGACCATAAGCAATAAGCATAATCAAGGGGGAAATGGGGACTAAGGGAGCAAGAAAAAAAAAAGGGAATGATACATAAATACCATAGAAGAGTCAAGCTCAAGCATAGTACACAACTTGTCCAATACCACCTCTAAACATGGGTACTTAGTGGGGGCCAAGACAAACTACCGGGCTCACCCTCATAGTCAAAACATAACTAAAAGGAAAAGTCTTATACATAGCAAAAGATCATAAGCAACGTCCCCGGAATGGAGGACGCACCAATAACCTTGATAGAAAATAGTATTAGCCACGCGGAGGAGGAGGGACAAGCGGTGCTCCGGTCCCTACATGGTGACATCATGTAGGCATAGAGTATGCGTTAGTACATTTGAATGTACTAAGTATATGGGATGCAATGCAATGCAACAAGGGATGGACATCATAGGCAAAATGCATAATCGTACCCGATAGATAGCATATTAAAGAAATGATATGTATAATGATGCTTACATAAAAAAATCATATTTAGTGGGACGTAGCACAAGTGTGGTGAGTGACCATCAATATAGTATTTCCAAGGCCTACCACCCCCTTGGAGAGGCGAAAGAGGTACAAACCCCTCAATGTGGTTACCCGGGCCTACCACCCCCCGAGCTAGGGACCAAGGTACAAACCCCTCGATATGGTTATACGGGCCTACTACCCCCCGTACTAGGCAACCAAGGTACCAACCCCTCGATACGGTTATACGGGCCTACTACCCCCCGTACTAGGCAACCAAGGTACCAACCCCTCGATACGGTTATACGGGCCTACTACCCCCCGTACTAGGCAACCAAGGTACCAACCCCTCGATACGGTTATACGGGCCTACTACCCCCCGTACTAGGCAACCAAGGTACCAACCCCTCGATACGGTTATACGGGCCTACTACCCCCCGTACTAGGCAACCAAGGTACCAACCCCTCGATACGGTTATACGGGCCTACTACCCCCCGTACTAGGCAACCAAGGTACCAACCCCTCGATACGGTTATACGGGCCTACTACCCCCCGTACTAGGCAACCAAGGTACCAACCCCTCGATACGGTTATACGGGCCTACTACCCCCCGTACTAGGCAACCAAGGTACCAACCCCTCGATACGGTTATACGGGCCTACTACCCCCCGTACTAGGCTTGGTCGACTCACAACACGTATATAGAGAAAATCATATACATGTGTCCATTTCATCATCATTTCAATAATTATATAACCATTCGATTCATAGGACGTACATTGGACCTTCCATTTCATAAGAATTCTATAAATGGCATTTTATCAAACATATGGTGGGCTACTTGTTCATGTAAATAAAATCATGTGTTTCAAGAGTACTAAGTCCAACCAATTCCGAAATACATATAAATCAGCCCACCAACAACATACATATATATATACATATATAACAACCTTCATAATTTGATCATTGAGGCATGAAAACCATAAACATCATATAATCATTCCATTTCATGATAATATACAAAAATAGACCATAATAGGATGTGTAGTAGTAATTCCATAATTCAAGAGTTCATAAATGATCATAAGGACCCATAAACTTGAAGTAGTAATAGAGGATAAATGGTTGGACTTGTGGAAAGGAAGGTTTCCACAATCAACCCACATACCTCAACTTTGGAGAATCCTTGATGAAGATTGGAATGGAGAATTGAAGCTTGAGATTGAGTCTTGAATCCGGAATTAGAGGTTGAGATGTTTGAATTTGGTTGAAGATCTTGGTGGAATTTTGGAGAGGGCTTAGAGAGTATTTTTGAAGTTAAAAATGACTAAGTATGGGACATATCCTCTTTTTATAAAAGAAAAACGTTTTCGGCTGCTACAGTAACTTAGCTTACTGGAAATTGCCATTCTGCTCCGGTAGGTTTTGCGAAAATGGTCATAACTCCCTCATCCTAACTTCGAATGAGGTGAAACCAAGTGCGTTGTAAGATAACTCAAAGAGCTTTAATTTAATAGGTTGTGACTCTTCCAGATCCTTGTGTGCTAAGGGATATGCCCCTTTAAAGTTGACCCTCCAAATCACATTTTTTGTGATTTTCGAATTTTGATACGGTTGCTCTAAAATTCGGGTTAGACCCATTTCCCACTCAATTTGACCCCTTGAATAAGAATATGAAGTCGAATTTCCGAAATCATGCACGGATTTTGAGATATATGGAAATTACAATTATAGGTGTTTTCGAAGCACACTTTCGGGCATTTTTGGGGTCGTTTCAATATCTCCCCCTTGGGAACATTCGTCCCCGAATGTTAAAGAAACGTACATGAGGGACACAAACATGGCAATATCAGCCCATATAAGGATGCAACAATGCACTTACACCTTATTTCAAAAACCTCAACATAGTTGTAAAACCACAATGAACTTGTCAACTTTAACATGAATAGAATTTTGATACGGTTGTTCTAAAATTCGGGTTAGACTCATTTCCCACTCAATTTGACCTCCTGAATAAGAATATGAAGTCGAATTTCCGAAATGATGCACGGATTTTGAGATATATGGAAATTACAATTATAGGTGTTTCCGAAGCACATTTTCGGGCATTTTTGGGGTCGTTTCAATATCTCCCCCTTGGGAACATTCGTCCTCGAATGTCAAAGAAACGTACATGAGAAACACAAGCATGGCAAATTCAGCCCACATAGGGATGCAACAATGCACTTACACCTCATTTCAAAAACTTCAACATAGTTGTAAAACCACAATGAACTTGTTAACTTAAACATGAATGTATGCAATGACATGGGGGTTGAACTTAAGACCTGAGATTTTATAAAGGGTTTAGATCAATACCTTAAGCTTGAGTGGAGTGGAAAAGATAAGGATATCGCCTTTGCATGTCCGCTTCGACCTCCCAAGTAGCACTTTGAACTTGTTGATTTCTCCAAAGGACTTTAACGGAAGCCACATCTTTGTTTCTCAACCTCTTCACTTGTCTATCTAAAATCTGGACCGGAACCTCTTCATAGGTCAAATTATCTTCAACAACACCCACAACATCAAGAGACACAATGGCATTTGGATCACCCACACACTTCCTCAACATAGACACATGAAATACCGGATGAACCAAATCCATTTCGCTAGGCAATTCCAACTCATAAGCTACCTTGCCAATTCTCCTCATCACCTTATAAGGACCCACGTATCTTGGGCTCAACTTGCCCTTCTTACCAAAACGAACCACACCCTTCATGGGTGACACCTTCAAATAGACCCAATCACCAACTCGGAATTCAAGAGCCCTTCTCCTCACATCGGCATAGGACTTTTGGCGACTTTGGGCCGTCTTCAACCTTTCTCTAATCATCCTAACCTTCTCAAGAGCCTCCACAACTAGATCTGGCCCTAACAAGGCCACCTCACAAACCTCAAAACCACCCAACCGGTGATCTACAACGCCTCTCATAGAGAGCCTCAAAAGGAGCCATACCGATGCTAGAATGATAGCTATTGTTATAGGCAAACTCAATCAATGGAAGATGATCATCCCAACTACCCTTAAGCTCCAATACACAAGCCCTAAGCATATCCTCAAGTGTTTGGATAGTCCTTTTGGCTTGTCCATCCGTTTGCGAGTGAAAGGCCGTAGTAGGCTTAGCTCTCGTACCTAGACCCCTTTGAAAGGACTTCCAAAAGTGTGAAGTAAATTGAGTACCACGGTCCGATATGATGGATAGAGGAATCCCATGCAACCTTACCAAGTCATGAATATATAACCTTGCATAATATTCCCCCCCATATGTTGTCTTTACCGGTAGAAAATGAGCCGATTTTTTCATCCTATCAACCACCACCCAAATAGAATCAAAACCTTTTCTAGTCTTGGGTAAACCAACTACAAAATCCATATTAATTTCTTCCCACTTCCAAGTAGGAATCTCAATGTCTTGGGTTAGACCACTCGGCCTTTGATGTTCGGCCTTGACTTGTTGACAACTATGACAACCGGAGACGAATTTGGCAATGTCCTTCTTCATGCCTCCCCACCAATACACATCCCTCAAATCTCTATACATTTTGGTGGAACCGGGGTGAATGGAGTAGGAAGAATTATGAGCCTCCTCAAGAATTTTCTCCCTCAAACCATCAACACAAGGCACACACAACCTACCTTGGTACCTAAGGGCACCATCTCCCCCTTGGGAGAAAACTTCCACCTTGCCCTCTTTCACCAAGGCCTTCAATTCTAACAAGGAAGAGTCAAGATCTTGTTTTGCTATCACCTCATCAACCAAGGAAAACCTAGCACCATCAACAACGACCACACCACCATTACCAACCTCTTCCAACCTAACCCCCAACCTAGCCAACCGATGCACCTCCCTAGCCATTTCCCTATCACCAATATCAACATGAGCTAGACTACCCATAGACACCCTACTCAAAGCATCCGCCACCACATTAGCTTTACCGGGATGATAATGCACACTCATATCATAATCTTTAAGAAATTCTAGCCACCTTCTTTGTCTCAAGTTGAGATCTTTTTGGGTGAAGACATATTGGAGGCTCTTATGATCGGTGAACACATCAACATGTACCCCATACAAGTAATGACGCCAAATCTTTAAAGCAAACACCACCGCGGCTAATTCAAGATCATGCGTAGGATAGTTCTTTTCATGTAGTTTTAGTTGTCTAGAAGCATAGGCTATCACCTTACCATTTTGCATTAGGACACAACCCAAGCCAACTCTAGAAGCATCACAATACACAACAAATCCCTCAAGCCCATCCGGTAGTGACAATATAGGAGCGGACACAAGTTTATCTTTCAAGGTTTGAAAACTCCTTTCACACTCGTCGGTCCACTCAAACTTAGCCTTCTTTTGTGTCAACTTAGTCATGGGAGAAGCAATAGAAGAAAACCCATTCACAAATCTCCGGTAGTAACCCGCTAAGCCCAAGAAGCTCCTAATATCCGACGGGGTCAATGGCCTAGGCCAATTTCTAATCACATCGGTCTTCTTAGGATCTACCTTAATACCATCCCCCGACACCACATGACCTAGGAAGGCAACCTCCCTCAACCAAAATTCACACTTTTCATACTTGGCATACAACTTCTCCTCTCTCAATCTTTGCAACACAACCCTCAAGTGACCCATATGTTCTTCCTCGCTATGCGAATAGATTAAAATATCATCAATGAAGACCACAACAAAGGAATCAAGGTAGGGTTTAAAGACCCTATTCATTAGGTCCATGAAGATAGCCGGTGCATTGGTCAACCCAAAGGACATGACCACAAATTCATAATGCCCATACCTAGTCCGGAAGGCTGTCTTGGGAATGTCACACTCCCTCACCTTCACTTGATGATACCCGGACCGAAGATCAATCTTAGAGAAGTGGCTAGCCCCTTGCAATTGGTCGAACAAGTCATCAATCCTAGGAAGAGGATATTTATTCTTGACGGTGACCCTATTGAGTTGCCGGTAATCAATACACATCCTAAGGGACCCATCTTTCTTCTTCACAAACAACACCGGTGCACCCCATGGTGATTGGCTAGGCCTAATAAAACCCTTCTCCAACAAGTCCCTCAATTGTTCCTTCAACTCCTTTAACTCCGCCGGGGCCATACGATAAGGGGGGATAGAAATGGGTTGAGTATCGGGGAGGAGGTCTATGCCAAAATCTATTTCCCTTTCGGGAGGAACACCGGGAAGGTCATTAGGAAAGACATCAAGGAATTCATTTACACCCGGAACCGACTCTATAGGAAGGGTTTTGGACTCCACATCCCTAACCCTCACAAGATGATAGAGACACCCCTTAGAGATCAACTTACGGGCTTTAATGCAAGAGATGAACCTACCCTGGACTACCACATTTTGGCTTTCCCACTCAAGAATGGGTTCACTTGGGAATTGGAACTTGACCCTACGGGTTCTACAATCAATGGAAGCATAGTATGCATGCAACCAATCCATCCCAAGAACAACATCAAAATCGACCATGTTCAACTCAACAAGATCACAAGGCAATATTTTATGCAAGATGCAAATAGGACAATTTCTATAGACCTTCCTAGCAACAACATATGCACCAATAGGAGTAGACACCTTATATGACTCACGCAACAATTCGGGCTCAACATGAAACTTTTTGGCAACAAAGGGGGTGACAAAAGAAAGAGAGGCACCCGGATCAATTAATGCATATACATCAAAATCAAAGATTTTCAACATACCGGTAACGACGTCGGGGACTTCATCGACCCCTTGCCTCCCATGCAAAGCATAAAATCGATTGTGCCTTGGGGCACCATCTTGTCGGCCCCCTCTCCCCAAAGGAACCGCATTGGCACCTTGTGGACGGACCTCCTTACCCTTGTTGCGATTTCGAGGACAATCCATTGCCTTGTGCCCCATTTCCCCACAACTATAGCAAGCACCGGTATTTCTCAAGCACGGGCCACCATGGCCCTTACCACACTTCGGACATACATCAATATGACCCATACCCCTAACACCTTGGGCCCTTGGAACATCATTGGCAAACCCCTTATGGAGCGCATGAGAAGACCCTTGACCTTGATGAAACCGGCCTCCCGTTCTACTTTGGAACTTGCCCTCAAAACGGGCCCTCTTGGCCTCATGACCCCTCCTCTTCCTCAACTTCTCCTCCTCCATTTGTTCGGCATAGACCATCAAGCGGGACAAGTCCATGTCACTAATCAACATTGCGGACCGGCATTCTTCACTCACTAGGTCGGACACACCCATCACGAATTTGTTCATCCTAGACCGTGAGTCGGCAACCAAGTGTGGAGCATACCTTGAAAGTTGGTTAAACTTGAGGGCATACTCCCTCACACTCATAGACCCTTGTTTTAAATTCATGAACTCCACCAATTTGGCTTCCCTAAGCTCAAGAGGAAAGAATCGATTAAGGAAAGCCGTTTTGAACTCTTCCCAAGGCACCACATAGTTTGCCCCCTTCTCTTCCTTCCATTGGTTGTACCATATTTGGGCCACCCCTTTTAGTTGGTAGGCCGCCAACTCCGCCTTATCTTCTGACTTCACGCCTTGAATTAGGCATGATCTCGCATTGCAAAGAACACCCGTTAGGGAAGACCTTAATTCAACTCTACAGCACGACTTAGAAAGTGGAGAAGGGAAACATTTCCTAAAACGTCTCATAGCCTCCTACTCATAGTTTTGGTGCACAACACAACCATGAATAAGACTTTAATCAACGCGGTGTGTTGGACTCCGATGATCTATCAACCTAGTGCTCTGATACCAAGTTTGTCACGACCCAAGGCTAGGGCCTAGACGTGACCGGCGAATGGGGAACCCGAAGGAACCCCAAACAAGCCTCACAGCGTATCATTACACATCCTTGGTCGCGGAAGCAATTAAAATGAGCATAAGCGATAAACATAATCAAGGGGGAAATGGGGGACTAAGGGAGCAAGAAAAATAAGGGAATGATACAAAATACCATAGATGAGTCAAGCTCAAGCATAATACACAACATGTCCAACACCAACTCTAAACATGGGGTACTTAGCGGGGGCCAAGACAAGCTACCGGGCTCACCCTCATAGTCAAAACATAAGTAAAAACGAAAAATCTTATACATAGCAAAAGATCATAAGCAACGTCCCCGGAATGGATGACTCACCAATAACCTCGATAGAAAATGGTATTAGCCACGCTGAAGAGGATGGTCAAGCGGTGCTCCGGTCCCTACATGGTGGCATCATGTAGGCATAGAGTATGCATTAGTACGTTTGAATGTACTAAGTATATGGGATGCAATGCAATGCTACAATTGATGGACATCATAGGAAAATGCATAATCATACCGGATGGATAGCACATTAATGAAACGATATATATATAATGACGCTTACATAAAAATCATATTTAGTGGGACGTAGCACAAGTGTGGTGAGTGACCATCAATATAGTATTTCCAAGGCCTACCACCCCCTTGGAGAGGCGAAAGAGGTACAAACCCCTCAATGTGGTTACCCGGGCCTACCACCCCCCGAGCTAGGGACCAAGGTACAAACCCCTCGATATGGTTATACGGGCCTACTACCCCCCGTACTAGGCTTGGTCGACTCACAACACGTATATAGAGAAAATTATATACATGTGTCCATTTCATCATCATTTCAATAATTATATAACCATTCGATTCATAAGACGTACATTGGACCTTCCATTTCCTAAGAATACTATAAATGGCATTTTATCAAACACATAGTGGGCTATTGTTCATGTAGATAAAATCATGTCTTTCAAGAGTACTAAGTCCAACCAATTTCAAAATCCATATAAAACAGCCCACCAACAACATACATATATATATACATATATAACAACCTTCATAATTTGATCATTGAGGCATGAAAACCATAAACATCATATAATCATTCCATTTCATGATAATATACAAAAATAGACCATAATAGGATGTGTAGTAATAATTCCATAATTCAAGAGTTCATAAATGATCATAAGGACCCATAAACTTGAAGTAAAATAGAGGATAAATGGTTGGACTTGTGGAAAGGAAGGTTTCCACAATCAACCCACATACCTCAACTTTGGAGAATTCTTGATGAAGATTGGAATGGAGAATTGCTTGAGATTGAATCTTGAATCCGGAATTAAAGCTTGGGATCCTTGAATTTGGTTGATGATCTTGGTGGAATTTTTGGAGAGGGTTTAGAGAGAGTTTTTGGATGTTTTGAAGTTAAATGACTAAGTATGGATATGTCCCCTTTTTATAAAAACGTCCCAACACTTAGAAAAAAAATTGAGGCGGGTGAACAGTGTTTTCGGCTACTGGAATTTGCATTTTCTGCCGGACAGGTTTTACGAAAATGGTCATAACTCCTTCATCCTAACTCGGAATGAGGTGAAACAAATTGCGTTGGAAAGATAACTCACAGAGCTTTAATTTTGATAGTTTGAGCTCCTTCCAGTTCCTTGTGTGCTGAGAGATATGCCCCTTTAAAGTTGACCCTCAAAATCGCATTTTTTGCGATTTTCAAATTTTGATACGGTTGTTCTAAAATTCGGGTTAGACTCATTTCCCACTCAATTTGACCCCCTGAATAAGAATATGAAGTCGAATTTCCGAAATGATGCACGGATTTTGAGATATATGGAAATTACAATTATAGGTGTTTCCGAAGCACATTTTCGGGCATTTTTGGGGTCGTTTCAATATCTCCCCCTTGGGAACATTCGTCCCCGAATGTTAAAGAAACGTACATGAGGGACACAAACATGGCAATATCAGCCCACATAAGGATGCAACAATGCACTTACACCTTATTTCAAAAAAAACCTCAACATAATTGTAAAACCACAACGAACCAATTGTCAACTTAAACATGAATGTACGCAATGACATTATCATGTTTAGTTATGTTCAAGGAGGAACTACCTTCTCCTAGTCATAACACACCAACATCAACATTTCTCATGTTCATAGGAGGAACTACCTTCTCCTAGTCATAACACACCAACATCAACATTTCTCATGTTCATAGGAGGAACTACCTTCTCCTAGTCATAACACACCAACATCAACATTTCTCATGTTCATAGGAGGAACTACCTTCTCCTAGTCATAACACACCAACATCAACATTTCTCATGTTCATAGGAGGAACTACCTTCTCCTAGTCATAACACACCAACATCAACATTTCTCATGTTCATAGGAGGAACTACCTTCTCCTAGTCATAACACACCAACATCAACATTTCTCATGTTCATAGGAGGAACTACCTTCTCCTAGTCATAACACACCAACATCAACATTTCTCATGTTCATAGGAGGAACTACCTTCTCCTAGTCATAACACACCAACATCAACATTTCTCATGTTCATAGGAGGAACTACCTTCTCCTAGTCATAACACACCAACATCAACATTTCTCATGTTCATAGGAGGAACTACCTTCTCCTAGTCATAACACACCAACATCAACATTTCTCATGTTCATAGGAGGAACTACCTTCTCCTAGTCATAACACACCAACATCAACATTTCTCATGTTCATAGGAGGAACTACCTTCTCCTAGTAAGATTGGAATGGAGAATTGAAGCTTGAGATTTGAGTCTTGAATCCGGAATTAGAGGTTGAGATGTTTGAATTTGGTTGAAGATCTTGGAAGAATTTGGAGAGGGTTAGAGAGTGTTTTGAGAAATGTTTTAGAGACTTGGAATGAACTAATGATATATAGGGAATATCATATGCCCTTTGGAAAAAAAATTGTCCAACACTTAGAAAAAATAATGGGGCGGGTGAACAGTGTTTCGGCTTACTGGAAATGGCACTTTTCTGCCGGCGAGGTTTTACGAAAATGGTCATAACTCCTTCATCCTAACTCGGAATGAGGCGAAACAAATTGCGTTGGAAAGCTAACTCACAGAGCTTTAATTTTGATAGTTTTAGCTCCTTCCAGTTCCTTGTGTGCTGAGAGATATGCCCCTTTAAAGTTGACCCTCCAAATCGCATTTTTTGCGATTTTCGAATTTTGATACGGTTGTTCTAAAATTCGGGTTAGACTCATTTCCCACTCAATTTGACCCCCTGAATAAGAATATGAAGTCGAATTTCCGAAATCATGCACGGATTTTGAGATATATGGAAATTACAATTATAGGTGTTTCCGAAGCACATTTTCGGGCATTTTTGGGGTCGTTTCAATATCTCCCCCTTGGGAACATTCGTCCCCGAATGTCAAAGAAACGTACATGAGAAACACAAGCATGGCAAATTCAGCCCACATAGGGATGCAACAATGCACTTACACCTCATTTCAAAAACTTCAACATAGTTGTAAAACCACAATGAACTTGTTAACTTAAACATGAATGTATGCAATGACATGGGGGTTGAACTTAAGACCTGAGATTTTATAAAGGGCTTAGATCAATACCTTAAGCTTGAGTGGAGTGGAAAAGATAAGGATATCGCCTTTGCATGTCCGCTTCGGCCTCCCAAGTAGCACTTTCAACTTGTTGATTTCTCCAAAGGACTTTAACGGAAGCCACATCTTTGTTTCTCAACCTCTTCACTTGTCTATCTAAAATCTGGACCGGAACCTCTTCATAGGTCAAATTATCTTCAACAACACCCACAACATCAAGAGACACAATGGCATTCGGATCACCCACACACTTCCTCAACATAGACACATGAAATACCGGATGAACCAAATCCATTTCGCTAGGCAATTCCAACTCATAAGCTACCTTGCCAATTCTCCTCATCACCTTATAAGGACCCACGTATCTTGGGCTCAACTTGCCCTTCTTACCAAAACGAACCACACCCTTCATGGGTGACACCTTCAAATAGACCCAATCACCAACTCGGAATTCAAGAGCCCTTCTCCTCACATCGGCATAGGACTTTTGGCGACTTTGGGCCGTCTTCAACCTTTCTCTAATCATCCTAACCTTCTCAAGAGCCTCCATAACTAGATCTGGTCCTAACAAGGCCACCTCACCAACCTCAAACCACCCAACCGGTGATCTACAACGCCTCCCATAGAGAGCCTCAAAAGGAGCCATACCGATGCTAGAATGATAGCTATTGTTATAGGCAAACTCAATCAATGGAAGATGATCATCCCAACTACCCTTAAGCTCCAATACACAAGCCCTAAGCATATCCTCAAGTGTTTGGATAGTCCTTTCGGCTTGTCCATCCGTTTGCGGGTGAAAGGCCGTAGTAAGCTTAACTCTCGTACCTAGACCCCTTTGAAAGGACTTCCAAAAGTGTGAAGTAAATTGAGTACCACGGTCCGATATGATGGATAGAGGAATCCCATGCAACCTTACCAAGTCATGAATATATAACCTTGCATAATCTTCCGCCCCATATGTTGTCTTTACCGGTAGAAAATGAGCCGATTTTGTCATCCTATCAACCACCACCCAAATAGAATCAAAACCTTTTCTAGTCTTGGGTAAACCAACTACAAAATCCATATTAATTTCTTCCCACTTCCAAGTAGGAATCTCTATGTCTTGGGTTAGACCACCCGGCCTTTGATGTTCGGCCTTGACTTGTTGACAACTATGACAACCGGAGACGAATTTGGCAATGTCCTTCTTCATGCCTCCCCACCAATACACATCCCTCAAATCTCTATA